CCGTGGCCTTGGTGTTATCAGCACCACACTCTCCCAAGTGAGCCACAGGCCGGCCCCAGAAGTGTGGGTTTTATTGTAAGTGTAAAGTGGGAAGCCACTGAATAAGTAGAGAAATGACATAACCTGATCAACATTTTTAAATGCAGTGATTTATCTTTTATTTATTCATTTATGTATTCATTTATTTTGGGTGGCTGGTAAATACTGGGATCAGAACCCTTGACCTTAGTGTTACAACATCTGATTTGTTACATTTCAGAGATACATATTGAAATAATTACAGCATGATATTACGTCTCAATTTGCTTCAAAATGATCTCAATGGGAGGGGTAATAGATGAAACAAGAAAGGCCATGAGTTAATAATTTTTGAAGCTGGATAACAGGTACACAGGGACTTATTATACTGTACTATTCTAATTTTGTATATATTTAATTTTTTTCATTAACAAAACACCTATTATAAGCCTATTTAAATGTGGTGGCTTGGATTAGAGCAGTGGCAGTGAAGATGGAGAGGAAATATTCAAATTTGAGACATANTGAGTACGACTGATAGGAGCAGCTGATAGATTAGATATGGAGGTTGAGGGAAAAGCAGAAATCAAGAAATATACATAGGTTTTTGGCTGCAGAAAATGGGTGGACCTCCTAAGACACAGAAGATTAAGAGGTCTTTTTTTGTGTGAATTCTGCAGGAGAGCTTGGAGGGAAAGTAAGTCATTTTGCAGAACTCCCGATTGTAACAGAAACAGTTGCAAGCATTTAGTTTACCTAACTCTTGGTGTGACCATTATGCTTAAAAGGACTGATCCACTGTACAACCTAAATATAATTGGTAACAGAGCCAGGAGGATTTCCAAAAATGTAGTGGTTTGTAAGCAAAGGTGTGCATCAGAATCATTTATGGAGCCTAAAAAAAATACACCTGTCCAAGCCCTACTCCAAACCTAGTGATTCTAAAATTCCAAGAGTAGGCCCGAGGCAGCTACATTTTTTTGAAAGTGCCTCAGGTGATAGTGATGGGCATCCCTGACTAAGAACCACTGTGACAATGGTCCAAGAAAGTCCTAAAGAAGAATATATAGGTAGCAAATATAAACTGAAGGTATGAGGCCCATGGAAAGTACTGGGAAGTGTAACATTTGGGAAAAGTCAATAACGAGAAAGATAAGTATGCTCGCGTAATTCTGGGAGGGAAAAATAAAAGTCCGGGGATAGGCACATGCATGACTATGGACCACAGCCACACCTGAGAATGATAAAATAGATCTTCAAGTATCAAAAGCTACTTCCAGGTGGTACGAAAAGGGCCGCCAAACTAGCCACAGCACTTTAGCAAGCGGTCATAGTAAAGCCAAAATTTTTCAACTCAGTGGCCCAAGATGCTGCCTGACAGATCCTGGCAAAACTGCCTTCTCTGAAGAGTCCCTCCTGGAAATGGCTCAAGCAATCAGCAAGAACTGTAGGTGTCAGGAGCATGAAGGTATTGGATCCTCTACAGCTCTGCCCCATACAACCTTCTATGGTGGTGATAATGCTCTTCATTTGTACTGTTCATTTCTGTAACCACTAGCCACATGCAACTCTTCAGCACTTGAAATGTGGCTAAGTGAGTCTGATGAACTGAATTTTTAGTTTTATTTATTTTTTCTTTTCTTTTTTTTTTTTTTGGTGGCTGGCCGATGGGGCATCTGAACCTGTGACCCTGCGCACTAATCAACTGAGCTAACCAGCCAGTCTAGTTTTATTTAATTTTAATTAATTTAAAGTTAACTTCCCACAACTGACTAGAGGCTAGTGCAGTGGACAGCACAGCTCTAGAGGGTCATTCTCTCCTTTCTCCCTTGTCAGTAAGTCACCACAAAGTTTAAAACCATGATAAAGAGGAGCCATTAGAGCTATAAGCACAGTACCTACAATGCCATCCCAATCACAAAGTCTCCCTTCCATAAATTCATAAGATGGAAGGTCAATGACCACATCTGTTTAGAACGAGATCTTAAGAGTTTCAAGGAGGGCCGGCCTGTGGCTCACTTGGGAGAGTGTGGTGCTGATAACACCAAGGCCGCGGGTTCAGATCTTTACAGAAGGATGGCTGGTTCGCTCACTTGGGAGAGCATGGGGCTGACAACACCAAGTCAAGGGTTAAGATCCCCTTGCCGGTCATCTTTAAAAAAAAAAAAAAAAAAAAAAAGAGTTTCAAGGAAATGGCAGTAGGTCGTGGGCCTCAGTCCCTCCCACTGCCTACTGTAAACAGGTCTGTGACGAAGCCAGAAGCCCCCCTGGGTCTCAGATGGGCCCCCCCAACCCAGGGCCTTGGCCCAACCCTCCTACCCCAGGTAACAACATCTTAGAACGTACCTATTAGCTACGTGTGTTTCTATGGGATGTGTAACTTATCTGCTCATGTCTTTCACCAAATTTCTTCTTAGATCTTTCTAATTCAGTTTGAAGAGTTCTTTTTTCATTAAGGATGTTAACCTTTGTTTTAAATTTGTTTCTTATCAATTGACTTTAAAATTAATTTGTAATGTTTTCCTTTGTTTCTATGTTGAGAAAATAATTTTCTATCTAAACATTAAAAAAAATTCACATCCCATATAACTCATATATCATAAAATTGACCCTTTTGAAGTGTACAATTCAGTGCTTTTTAATACATTCAGAATTGTATAAACATCACCACTATCTAATTTCAGAACATTTTAATCATGCTCCAAAGAAACCTGGTACCCACTGGCAGTCACTAGTCACTTCCTATTCCTCCCTCCTCCTGGCCTCTAGCAACCACTAATAAAATTTACTGTCTCTGTGGATTTGTCTGTTCTGGACATTTCATATAAATAAAATAAAGTAAAATGTGTAAAAAAAAAAAAAATTTTCAAGGCACCAAAATGCACAACTGAAAGAGGAATCTAAAAAATTGAGTAAAGAACCAGATATATACAATACATAGATAGTAATCTGATTTTCCTAACATTTAAAAAGACTCAAATGCTTTGTAAATAACTTATGTTCAATTCAACACTATTGCAAGAAAAATGTTTTGTTTCCATTTTTACTTAAAATTCAAAACAGGGCTGGCCAGTTAGCTCACTTGGTTAGAAATAGAACACAGTGCTAATAACACCAAGGTCAAGGGTTTGGATCCCTGTACCAGCCAGTTCAAAAAAAACCCCCAAAAACAAAACAAAAAAACTCAAAACATTTATATCCACAACTATCATTCTGCTCAAATACAAAATGTGTGTTCTCTTGCTTCTTCTTTATCACACATACATCTTCCAAAGAAGTGCAAAGAAATCTCCCTGCATGAAGTCCTAAAAAAGATCTCTAAAGTTTTTTAGAGAACTTATAAAATGCTTACACATCCATTATTTCATTTGATTCTCAAATTAACCACACAAAGCCAAGACAGTTATTATCCTCATCTCCACTTACAGATGCAGAAACTAAGAAGTCAAATGAAGTCCAAGTCTTAGAGCTCATAGTTGGCCACTCCAGATTTCAAAAGTTGTTCATTTTTCTCCAAGTCCTATACTCTCACATACAGCACACCACGAGCAGTCAATGACAGTGGGGAACACCACACCTCATCAAAGGGGCATCTCAACAGAGTGGGCACATACGATACAGGTGGATGATGTATTCTAAAGGTAAGACTTTTCAAGAAGCAGTGTGAAAAAGGGAAATGTGAGATTTACTATTACAGTATTTAATCAGTCTGAAATTGTGAATCACTATACTATCAGAGCTCTGTTTCTTGCTTTGCTCTCAAATATATTTGCTGCCTCAAATTTTCCCCCCATAAAGGTGTGTGTGTGTGTGTACAAAGAAACGATAAAGCAAATGTGGAAAAATGTTAACGACCAGTGTACCTGAGTGAACGGTTTATGGATGTTCGTTGTACTATTTCTTGCACCTTTCTGTAAGTCTGCAATTTTTCAATATACAAAGTTTGAGAGAAAAAAAAATACCTGCTGTCTTTGTCTGTTCTTTCATTTATGAGAGGAATCCATCGACTCGTTACCTAAGATGAAAATTAATAAGAGCTAAGCCATGATGAAGATTTTCTTTGAAAAACACTATGACCTTAGACTCCTAAAATTCTAAACTGAGGATTAACCTTTGAAAGTGCCCCACTGAAGTTTAACTAAATACTTACATAGTGAAAAAAAGGTCACACATTCATACCTTATCAATAGAATGCTTGTTGTTAACAGCATAAACTATGCAGATGACATTAGCCTAGAAGAAAAATTAACAAATTAATGATATTTTTAAATAATAAAAATGTAAACAGTAGCATTTAATTACTAACCAGTTAATATATTTGGGCCAAAGGAGGAAAAAATTTTGAAAACTTAAAAAAAGGAAAATTAGCCTACCTCAAAGAGGAAAAAATACCTAAGTACTCACAGCAAAAATACATACTCAAAATCAGCAATAACAACAAAGAATTTAAAAAGCCACCTTGGTATAAATCAGAGAGTGAAAAAGGCAGACTCATCACTGTTTTTACACACACAAAAAAAACTTACAACTATTTTTTTTAACCTCACCTGTGATATTTCTTGATGAAGTTGTTCATCACTCTGCTCTGCTTCTACAAATGACAAAAAGTCAATGTTTCATACTGTAAAACATTTCATAAAAACTTATGGTCAAGCTAAAATTTATGTGACACCCATCTAACATCCCTCAAAATGACACGGTGTAGTGCCAGACTGGGTGGCAAAGACAAGGGCAAGCCAGAGGAAGGAAAAAGTTGAAGTATGATAAGGTAGCTGGCTGGCACTGAAAGACAAATCTACAAGAGGATGACTCAGGCACGGAAGAGCAGAGGCATTGTGTGATAAATGTAGGCCAGCATCTGATCTAGAGTTGAAAAGGGTCAGGCAAAAGAGATCAGAAACCCAAGCCAGAAGATTTGTTGCTAAAGAGTCAGAAGCTCAGACAAAGAGTCTATACACACAGAGCCAAAAGGCTGGGTGAGAATCTGGACAATATAAGCTTAAGATCTAGACAGCAGGTAGGAGTGATAATAACCAGGGCCCAGAAGCAAAACCATCTCATGATAATGAAGAGTCAAGAATTCCCTGTCTAGTGCATTATCTCTAGCTAGAACTGGTCCCAACGGGTAGGTGTGGCTGCAATCTCACAGGTGCAGGGGATATGCATGATATAGCTAGAAAGAGGAACAAACGAAATGAAGAGCAAAGCAGTTATTGACACATTAATCTACATCACCTACATATGTCTCCCCCCCCAAATCCCTGTTATTTCTAACATACAAACTAATATCACATGAGTTCAATGGTATTTTATACTATGCTAAGTAACTGGCCATATTTTTTTTTTTTTTTTTTTAAAGATGACCGGTAAGGGGATCTTAACCCTTGACTTGGTGTTGTCAGCACCACGCTCAACCAGTGAGCGAACCGGCCATCCCTATATAGGATCCGAACCCGGGGCCTTGGTGTTATCAGCACCGCACTCT